GTTAACCTGAATTTTTAATTCAGCTCATAGTGTGATTCTTTGTTCGTCCCTTACAGTTTTAGTAACTGTAGTAGCAAATTATATCCCCCAACTTTTGTTTTATTGAACTATCATATATAAATAACAATTAATGGTTTCAATGCAGTGAAGTTGTTCTTAATTTATACTCATGAAATTAAGAACAGACTCTTTCTTTAATTCCATAAGTATTAATTTGGACTAAAGCACAGTATTTACATTTACTTTAAGGCGGTTGTAGCCTAATAAGCTGTGAGGTATAGAGGAGATAAAATGTATCACATAAATAAATCTTTTAAGAACTAAACATGCTACATCATTTAACTAGTTTGAAAGCAAAGCTGTAGTAGGAAGGCTATGATCCTAACAATTGTCGTAACCATCAGTGGGACGTTGCATGGATTTACTAATGCATCTGCATGAAAGAAATTGCAGACTCCAGAGTCTTAAATTTTGAGTCATAATGGTGCACGGGTTATATGACTTTGCCACAGTAACAGGTTAGGGCAAAAAATGTTAAGTATTCTGGTCCATAAAGCAAAGTATTTACAAACTGTGTGCTTATACTAGCTTTTGAAAAGACTTGTGAATGTGATTAACGTGGTGTTTGACCTCAGTGGAGACTCCTCATGTATTTACAGTTAAGCACGTGTTTAAGTTTCTGCAGAATCAGGCGTCTGAGTCTGATTCAAAGCAGTTGGTGACTCGGACCAGTCTGTCATGGAATCTGAAAGGAGTGCAGCTTTTGTGTGTCGTATTCTGGATGAGTGCAAAAGCGCTGTATATTTTATTTATTGATACAAAATCTGTTGGTTTGGAAATGGCATTGCATAGGCCAGGAATCCGGGAAGGCATTTAAAAGTTACTTCATACCAAAGAATAATTCTTCTTTTAAAAAAGGAGATAAATAGGAAGTAACAAGATTTTTTGGATCTTGAGGCAGAAGGCCCTCGTCAAATTTCCTAGGAAAAATTGGACTAGAGTGAGGTCCAACTGAGACCCGATTGTCTTCATGGGAGTTTGACCCTTGATGTATTTCATTCTTATCTTTAATTTTTAAATAGGTCCTTCCCCGCATGTAAATATCATAAAGTTGATCAGTCTGTGTTGGGAAACTTTAACTTAGTCATGAAAAAGAGCGATCAAGCAAAAATTTGAATTTGAAGGATGAAGTCTCTTGTCACATCCATATAAATGCGGATCAGTGGGACAGCTAGTTTTTGTCTCGCCCCAGATGAGCTGGTGCCTGAAAGGAAGGCATGAGAAACCGAGTGCATGTGAGCTTGCGTGTGACTAGCGGCAGGCAAGTTTCAGCGCCAGTTCAAGGCGCAGGTTCGTGGCAGCACAGGAAGGGAAAGGGCACCGTGGTTTTCCCTGTGGTTGCAGCCAGTTCTTACATTTGCAAAGGACACCTCAGTGCTCTGCTGCCTATTAGACTAATTCTGAGTTAATATCCCAAAATTGTATTGTGGAGTAAAGACTTTGACATCTGTCTTGAAAATACTTAGAGTCAAATTCAGCCCTGCTGGAACTGCCTTGTATTCAATGCAGTTTTCTTCACTGGGGCTGGTTCTTGTGTCCTACAGCTCCAAAGAAAACTCCATGTTTTCTCCCTTTTACAGTTACAAATCAAGCGTTCATTTGGGTGGTGCTCATAACAACCACTTTGAGCTAAGTCCTTAGTTCAGGTTTTCTGAAAGTTGTTTTGCAGTATTTCAGTCATGATATGCACTACAGTACTTCCTACTCCTTCAGAACAAAATATTTTCCTTCCTGGAACGTGGGTATATGTTCTCCTTGGTCTGCTTTGTGCAGGAGTTGAGGTTATGTAGTCACTCTGAGATATTTGCGCTATTGGACAAGGATAAAATCAATGAAATCATTTCGCTCCTAATCTGAATTTATGTCCTGGGATTCCACCAGTGAAAAGCAAGGGCACTTGGCCATGTGGCTGTTCCTTGATCCTTTAAGAATTTGAATCCCTGTTAAGCATGCTTGTCTTCCAACCTGTGGTTGCACAGAATGTAATGAGTTTTGTTTTCCATCTGTTAAACAAGAGGCTTCTGAACATAGATTAGCTAGTGCAAACAGAAATAATTATTTTTGTTCCTTGATGGCAACAACAGTAAGGTTAACCACCACATACATATTTCATAGAGTGTTTTCCACGCTCAGCAATTTTAAATGCCTTGTTCCGTGTGCATTACATGATTTGCCTTACAAATAGCCTTACAATGGACATGGATTTAGCTGTCAATATGCTTCCTTAATTATAGTAATTGCAGAAGTGGAGATCTAGACATATCCCACTGTCCTATAACCACAGCCTAGACTGCTACAGTAGAGCAGCATGTCACAGCTGATTCATCTTACAAGCATGGTTGCCTCTCCCTGCTGATAGCCCGCTGCTAAGTAACGCCTTATGGCTGAGCACTGGGGACGGACTGCATTCTGCTGCACTTTGTACATCCGGACTCTGTGGATCAGTGGAGATATGCAAATATTGGTGAGAGCCTAATTTGGCTTTATGGGCTTTGATAAAGGAAAATTAGTCAGCCCCCTACCTCAAAAAAACCCAGCAGAACCCAAACCAAAAACATACAGTATTCAGTTTTCCAGAAAATACATTGATTTTTAAGAAGTAACTCAAAGTAACTGTTGATGAACTCAAAATACATCTGGTAGATTCTGAAATGCAGCCGATAGAAGGATGCATTATCTTTCAAAGCGATACTTATTTGCTTTTTTGATGTAAGGGTTTTTAACACTTTTATTTATTGATGATGCTAAGTGGAAATACCCATCAGAGCATTCTAATGAGACTGCGCTGCCCTGACTGGAAAGAAGCATTTCCTGAATACATACAGTCCCTGGTGGATCATCTCAAGATGTTCTGGGCTCTCTGTCCTCTCTTGAGTGCTCCCTTAGCTCTAACCCTAAGTTGGTATGATCTCCAACAGTGGCATTGTACTTTGTTTTTAGTGACCCTAATAAAAAGCAGAGGAATTACTTAGAAATAAATCTGTTAATGGTTTTTTTTTCTTCTTTTAAAGCCTATTTTTTTGTTTCCAGAACCCCATATATGACCAACTCTTAAAATGGTTTCTCCTGTAGAGAGTGATGCTTATAAACTTTACGTTCTGGCTTTCATGTTGGCACAAAACCAGAGACATTTAGGTCTTATATAAGCAGCTGAAACGGCTTTGGAATATGGAATACGTTGTGTTTTTATTTAACTACTTAACGGCTTAGGTATTTGGGGCTGCAACTTACTAATGAAATATAACTGGAAAAAATTACAGGACTCTGATGCCTCCGAGTACAGTCTCAGCAACTGAAGCTACATCATAGTATGCACCCTTGAATCCTACTTATATTTGTGTTCTAAGAAGACTGTTCGCTTTGAGCCAACAGATCTGTTTTGCACCCTCTAGGATAGGGATTCTTCACTTATGCAATAGCGGGTATCGTGCTTTAACAGGCAACAGCTTCTTGAATGGAGTTGCCTGAGGCGTTAAGTGACTGCTGAAACTCCCTATCTGATAAACGTGGGGTGGTGTGCTTGAATGAAGAACTGAATCCAAGTCTACAGCCAGAGTAGATACTCTGAATACTGTGAGCACCCCCTCATGTTTGCAGACAGCTGGTTTGTTTGTGATTTAAAAGACTAGTTTTCTGCTAACGTTGAATAGTCTGGAATCAGGATTAGTAGGCAATTCTCAACAAAACATTTTCACTCGTATGTAATAAGCTTATTATTAATGCTCCATAACCAAAAAGTGTTTGCGAATGTAGAATTTTAGTGCAAAATCTGGTATTAAGAGAACCAGCTTTATGAGGATGATTTCTCCTTTGCTTTTTTATGAAATCTTGAACATGAAGAAAGAAGGTGTACACCACTTCGGATGGTTTGAATATGACTGGTTCCATAGAACAAATTACTGTACTTCAATAAGGAAGTAATTCGGTTTGTTTGTTCTTTCCTCTCAGGCTCATACTCTCCTCTGTATGCAATGAGAGTCTTGGTGGCTGAGAAAATGGGATGTGTTCTCCTTTCTTGCAGGAGGCCATTGAATTAAGAATGGTCAGAACCTGCTGA